GCCATGGGGCGAGACTTCAAAGAAAGGGAGGGACTGAGCTGATCAGACAAGACCTTTTAGTTCAGAGGTTTCTCAATGTGAGCTTATAGACTTCTTTTGAAAGGAGAAAAACCTGTTAATAACACTTTTTAAATGCCAGTTTAAGCGAGGCAAAATGAAAGTGTTCAATTCAGGGCAATAGATCTATTGATCTACTATTACAGAGGAAGATTCTTGAGGATAGTATTGATTTATGAGATGAATTTGCACCTGTCTGAGCAGCGTTGGATAATGTTAATTTAATTAGGATTGGCTTGCTATAGTAAATGAACTTTTATTTAGTAGATACAGGAGGAGATTATTTATTCATTTACTAGCTTCCAAGCCTGTGTGGAAAGTAGTCGGTCTAAGTGTATGAAATCCTTTATTCCTAAGCAACTGTGGCAAAAATAATGCACATGTGGATTATTGCAGTTATCCTATTGCAAAAGCCTTATATTTTTTTTTAACTATATAAAGCAAACATAATTATGCAACACAACATATATTCTTAAAAAAAGTATTAACATCTAAGAAAGCTTTAAAACTTAGAATATCAAACAGTGAATTTAAACTGATCACCAAAATAGTATTTTCTTTCTCCATTTTTGTGTATAAATAACTATATGTGTATTTATAAATGAAAAAGCTAGCAAAGCTGGTTTGTGAAGATAGTAGTAGCTGCTTTTCATGGCAGATACTTAATAACAGGCACAAACCCACTGAAAAAGTGAGAATAGATTAACTGCAGGCCATTTCCATTTGATTTAATGAAGATTGTGTAAAATAATTCTTACATGTACATAGGCACACATACACAGGCAAAATAGCCATACACTGCTTTAGAAATAATTTGGAAGAAGTGCTTCAGGTGCTTTCACAGCTGACTTCTGCAGCTTCCAGATGTTCCGGGGAAAAATGGCTGCTTAAAGAGTTGCAGACCAGTGCTACATTTGTCTTTTTGGAACTGATTCTGGAACATTGC